TATATATATATATATATATATATGTATAAAAATTCAATTATAACACAAGATAAGATACTTTATTTTACTCATCCCTAAATATTATATTTTTATACTATTATGAAGAATATTTTTATATTATTACATTATTATGAAGAAGTTTCTTTTTTTTACAATTCCATTCCTTTTCTTTTTCCGGAACAGTATGTTTTCATTACCCTCTTCACTCCATTTCTAAACTTTCAAAAATCCTCTTCCTCTCTTTGAATAGAAAAGTGTTCTCCAAATAACTTTCGCCTTACTAAACTTTGTCTATCACAGGTTCATTAATCAAAATGAAGTTGTTTATAATGTCTTCAATTTTCTGTTCTGGCCCAGGAAACCACCCAAGACGGAGGGATTGGCCGATGAAAGAAATGGTCCTCGAGAGTTTAAAAAATAAACATCGAACAGTTCGAAGATGAAGAAGAATGAATGTGAAACAAATAAGCTACTTTCACTGGTAATATACACAGGCAATTTACTTCATAGCATCGAAGAACCATGCATCCACTTTGTAAAGTGGATGCACGTAATTACTGGCACGAGAGAATCTAGAAGACATCTAATTCTCGAGGAAGAATCACGCGACTGTTATCCCTGGCATAACCGAAGTTTCCATGAACCAGATGGCCAGGAAGAGGGCTATCCTTTTCTTTTATTTCCTTTGAAAACTACAGCATCGCAATTACATCGGAAAGAGAGGAAACGAAAAGAGATAATAACAAGGATTGTATAACGATCTTCTTGCGTTTCTACGATTTTAAATGGTAAGAAAAATAACGGTTTAAGATTGTATCATATTTGATTACGTGTTAATGAAATGATGCTTATCGATTTATTTTTATAATGATTTATAATTTATTTTTTTTAAAATTACGAAAATGTATCTCGTAATACAGTAATCTTATTTCCGCTGATGTAGTAAGTTGGGATAATTAGGATGATGTTTCCTTGGTGTTTCCTTCGATTTGTTGACGATTAAACGATGGAAGTGAAAGCAAGGAAGAAATATAATGGCAGGTTGGTTGGCAGAGTTGATGGTGTAAAATTAGACGGCGGTTTATCTACGGCTTTTGATCGGAGATGGTAATTTGTTAATTACATCTATTGTATGCGTGAAATTTTTTTATATTTCTTTTATATAATTTGAGAGATTATATATTGGTTTCGAAATTATAAATCAACTTTCGTTCGTCCGATGTATATTAAAAATTATGTAAAAAGGAAAGAAAAAGTAAACTATTCGAGAACAAAAATAATTAAAAGTTGTAATTAAAGAAAATCGTTGTGCAAATGAAAAGAAAAAAAAAAGAAAGTCAGAGTATGCAAAGTTATTTCTTATTTTTTTTACAAAAATTTTATTTTAAATATCCTGTCTTGGAAAAATAATAAGATGATTGGATATCAAATTATTGATAATATTTTTACATTACAATTAAAAAACATAAGGAAAAAAATAGAATGTCGAGTTTAATCAAAACAGCTAGATATAGCTAAAATATAATAACGACACTAACTTATTCACGTAACATTGATAAGAAAAACTTTTATTATAAACATTATTTTTAATCGTTCTTTCGAAATAATATACAGCC